AAAAAAAAAAAGAAATTTTTTAAGGTAATTTCTTGCCATCTCATTTTTTTGCCACGCTGTACATCCTAGGTGTCAAAATGTTTTAACATGTCATCCTTTTCTCCGTCAAGTAATAAGACACGTAGGCAGGTATTTAACAGAAGGACCAAATCGGGGTTAAAATGGTAAATAGTAGGGACCAAATCAGGGATTTTTTTAGTTTAGGGACCAAATCGGGGGTCCGTACAATAGTTCAGGGACCAAAATAGGGTTTTAACCTTAATTATATTGTATGTGAGATATTAAGAGATTTAATATTTGATTATTATAAAAAAAGTGAATTTCATATTTAAATATTGTATTATTGTTAAATTTAATAATAATAGTATAAAATTAATATAATATATTTATTATCATATAAGTGAAAATAAAGAATATGTGTTCAAAATCTTACTAGATATAATTTTTTTTATCAGGCATTCTGATACATCACCGACAAAGGATGTGTTGCTAAAAATGCTATTGATACTATTCGAATAAACATCAACAACAAGGGTTATGTTGTTGAAAATATGGTGCTTTACTATTCAACATGCTATCAACATCATAGTGCTTGTTGCTAAAAATGGAAAAATCAGCCACAAGGGTTTTGTTGCTAAAAATAGGTTGTATTATTCAAAAGTAATTAGCAACAAGGCAGATGTTGTTGAAAAGTGTGTGACCAAACTCCCTCCTAATTTTTAGTAACATAAGCCACGTTATTGAAAATATAGTTTCACTAACATGACTTATGTTGTTGAAAAATGGTGCCACAGTTTCGATGCCAAATTTTAGTGATTATTTTTATCAACATAAGTCACGTTGGTGAAACTATATAATTAGCAACAAGGCATATGTTGATGAAAATAGTCACAAGAATCCTCCATCAAATTCCTATGAATATTTTTACCAACATAAGTCACGTTGCTGAAACTATGTTTTCAGCAATATGACTTATATCTTCAGCAACGTGATTTATGTTGCTGAAAAAGCACCATGAATCAGCAACAAAAAGCGTGTTGGTAATGTGTCACCCAGCAAAGCATTTCCAACAAAGCATTTAGCAATAACAACTACGTAGCTGAAGGAGTTTCGGCAACATGGGAAACACTTTCACTAACGTGCGTCCTTGTTACTAAAGAGGAGAATTTTAGTAGTATAATAAAACCAAACAAATAGTTTTTAACATTTCAATTAAAGCCAGCCATGAGCCAAACCATAAATAAAAAAATTACTCCATAAATTAATGTAAACTAACTATATATGTACATACCTTGGGTTTCAATTGGTTTCCCAAAATAAAAATAATATATTCTTAGAAACCTTGGTGCCAATCATGGTTGGTAAAGTTGTTGGTTTGACACCTTGCCTTCTCCTTCATTCCTATCATTCATGGTTATAGAAACCTCATCAAATGGACATTGATTGCATTTTGTAATTTAAGACTCGATCAAAATATATATACCTCAATACCACAACCTCTTCTGTCAAATCTTCTATAAAATCCTTTTTTTTTTATCAACAAAATAAATATATTTTATATCTTCTATAAAATCCTTAAAGTAAGGAATTTTCAGTTGATCATTATAATAATAAATGACTTCAGCAAAATCATCTACTCCAATAGCGCCAAATGGTACTATTTTGGCTCCAAATCCAGCAGCCATCCTCACAAACTCTCAGACTTTTCTGGCCAAAATAACTTGTATGCTTCACCTTGGCAAAATTAATTAATCAATATGCCTAGCTACCTAGAGTTGAGGTATCACAGCTGCACAATACTATAGCTAAATATTCAATCTGTTACTTTCCTATGAAAAGCCTCACCCACCCCTCCAACGAACAAGAGGCTATGAGATTTTGAAGACATAAGCTTGTAGAAATTTGTTCCTAAAACAGGAACTACCCCCATTAATAGTATTGAGTCAAAGGTTGATGCATTAGGTAAAATTATTTCTAAGATTCTTGTTCATAGAATCAAGCCTTGGATGGATAAAATTATCTCACCTTGTCAGGCTAGTTTTATCCCGGGTAGGCAGGGCACTGATAATGTTCTTATTCTTCAAGAGTTTGTCTATTCCTTCAACAAGAAGAGGGGCAAAACTGGAGACATGGTTTGTAAGCTTGATCTTGAAAAGGTGTATGATAGATTAGAATGGAGTTTTATCCATGAAACTCTTATTTTCTTTAAATTTCCTCCTAATATCATACGCCTTATTATGTCTTCTATCACCTTGGCATCTATTTCAGTTCTCATTAATGGGGATAAAACAGACAGCTTTACACCTACTCGTGGTATCCGGCAAGGTGATCTCCTCTCCCTTTATATGTTTATATTATGTATGGAACAGCTCTCGATAACAATCACATTAGAAATGGACAAAGGCAATTGGAAAGGTAGCAAAGCAGGACAGAGATGTCCTTTATTCTCTCATCTATTCTTTGTTGATGACATTATCTTCTTGGGGAAAGCCACCGTGACTATCGAAGCCTTCTTGAAAAATATCTTGGATTTCTTCTATTCTAGATCAGGATAAAAGATTAATTTGCAGAAATCCAAAATCTTATTCTCAAAAAATTGTTGATCAAGCCTTTCGCAATTCTATATGTTCTATTTTAGGATACAACCAAACTGAGAATCTAGGTAAATATTTGGGTATCCCTGTTTCAGCTTGTAAGTTGAACAAGAGGCATTGTCAATTCATTGTGGATAAAGTCAGGACGAAACTTGCTAGGTGGAAGACCAAGTTTCTTTCCATGGCAGGTCGTACTACCTTAGTTAAATTTGTGTTAGCTGCTGTTCCTAATTATTACATGCAAGCTACTTACCTGCCTACTTCTATCCACAATGAATTAGATAGGATTTTGAGAAATTTTATTTGGGGAGCTGATGTAGAACAAAAAGAAATCCATCTTGTATGCTGGGATAAGGTTACTCAACCTAAAGGAGCTGGAGGTCTTGGAATTAAAAGCGCCAAGGAAGCCAACATTGTTGCCATGACCAAACTTAATTGGCG